AAAAAAAACAGAAAAAATGAGCCAGGCATGGTGGCACCTGCCTGTAGTCCCAGCTACTCGGGAGGCTAAGGCAGGAGGATTGCTTGAGCCCAGGAGTTGGAGGTTGCTGTGAGCTAAACTGATGCCACGGCACTGTAGCCGGGCGACAGAGCTAGACTCTGTCTTAAAAAAAAAAAAAATTTAGACTGTATCTGGATTTCTCCGGGTTGTTCCAATCATGTCCTTTTTTCATTCCGGGATCCAATCCAGGATACAACATTGCATTTAGTTAGACAGTTTTTTAAATTGTATTTCAAAGTCATTGTTTACTCCCCATCCCAACCTCCAATTTTTAAAATCAATACTTAACTTTGGGAGGATGAAGTGGGAGGATTACTTGAGGCCAGGAGTTTGAGATCAGCCTGGGCAACATAACAAGATTCTGTCTTACGGAAAATGAAAAATTACGCGGGCGTGGTAGTCCATGCTTACGAGGCTGAGGTGGGAGGATCGCTTGAGCCCAGAAGTTGGAGGCTGCAGTGAGCTGTGATTGTGCCACTGCACTCCAGCCTGGGTGACAGAGCGAGATCCTATCTCTAAAAATAAAATAAAATAAAATCAACACTTAAAAATCAGTGAAAACATGCTGGGCCTAGTCCTGTTTGCTTTTAGCTCCATTGTTTGTTCTGTCCCTGTCCTGCTCTGGGTCTCAGGCTGCTGGTCCCTGAGCAATGCCGGCTCCCTCGTCAGTTGGTTTCCTGCTGGTTTTGGCCAATGGGAGGCACAGGCGTGGGACTAGAGGGTGAGAGGAAGGAAGAAACCAGGTATTTCTTTACCCACACTCCTCCTCGCTGCCCTCTGCTTTGGGCTGCATGTCCGGCAGTGGCTCTAGCGGGATCTAATGACTGTGGTTCCAGCTTTCTCTGAGTGACCTCCTCCCCGTGTGGTGGCTGTGTGCCATCGGCAACTGCTGGATGGCTTTACCTTCCCCTGCTTGTCCTCTCAACTATTCCATCACTGGTGTAACCACTTCCCTATATTTAAATCCTTAGAACAGCATCTGTTTTCCTGGTCAGTCCCTGCCTGAGAATCACCTCCGCATGTGGTCCTCCTACTGTTGTGGCCCTAACACCCTCACAACACTAAAAATTGTTTTCAGTGAAAGGTTCTTCATGAAAGTGGCGGAGCACCTAAAATGAACTCTCAATGTCAACAGTTGTGGCTGCTGTGGCCACACTAACCACACATATGTCACCACAGCTCTACTGACACCCACTCCTTCCTTTTTCAGGGCTGTCAGAGACAATAAAAACACGATACCCAGATAGTGCATCATAGTCTCAACCTTCAAGTGCGCGCAGAGGCAAAGAAGGCTGCCCACAAAATGGCTTTAGAAATTCTTGCCCTGGCCCCTTTCTACCAAGTCCCCACCATGAACAAAATGGGACTAAAGACAGACGCCTCTAAAAAGCCAGCTGACCTGCTGAAACCCTTGGTCCCCTCTAAGAGCAAACTCACCACCATCGAGGCCAAGAGAATCATGTCTGTCCTGGAGGAGGCCATCTACAAGGTGGAGTTGGTGACGGTGCTGTCGTACGTGGCCTCCAACCCAGAGGACGTGGAGAAGGTGCTGGGCGAGGACATCCTGAGGGCAGTGAGAGAGCATGAGGACCTCTGCCAGGCCCTCCTGGAAAATGTCAGGGACCTGGAAGAGAAAGAAAGGCAGCTGCAGGAAGAGGAAGAGCTGGAGGAGGAAGGGTGGCTCAGAGACCTTGACCTCTTCATAGAGGTGCAGAAATCCAGCCTCTTGCCACTTATGCAGCAGATCAAGGACTCCACCAGGAACGTCCTGAGACTCTTGCTCAGTAACCCCCAGGCTGCCGGGTTCCTGCAGATGCAGACCCAGGGCAGAAGCGCAGAAGCCCAGAAGTTTATTGACAGCCTGAGAGAGCTCCAGGGTTTCCTGTTTGAGAAGCTACTCACTAGCCCCATGGAAGCTAGGGAAAAGGCCCAGTTCATTCAGGACATCAATAAACGAAATCGGAGGAACCAAGAAGTCATTGATGCTCTTGAAAATGAATTGACAGCACGAATGAAGAGCAGGGATGCAGAGGTATTGCCACATGATATCAGTCAAGCTGTGGAAGGAGCCACACTGAGTATCCCAAATCTTTTTGTGGTTGGGTTTTTCCTCAATGATTTAAATAGCTTTTAAAAATGCATTTACTCCATGAAGATTGTTTGGAGCACTTACTCGGTGCCAAGTCTTGTAAATAAGCCCACATGGTCTCAGCCTCCTGGGGTTCACAGTAGGGAAGGTAGGTATCAAAGAACTCATTCCGTTACAGTTTTGAGAAGTACAATGAAGGGTAAGTACAGGGTGTTATAAGGGAGTGTCAGGAGAACAGAACTTAGACCAAAAGGATTAGGCACACTGAAGCCAAGACATGAAGAGTGTGAGAGAGTGAGCCAGGCAAGGGAAGTGAGGAAGAACTTTCTAAGTCAGGGGTCAGCAAACTTTTTCTACAAAGGGCCAGATAGTAAATACATTAAACTTTGTGGGCCAGATGGTCTCTGTTGCATCTACTCAACTCAACTCTGCCATTACAGTGTGAACGCTGCCATCAATAGTATGTAAATGGGCTATGTTCCAATAAAATTTTATTTACAAACACAGGTGGCCCACTGGATTTGGCCTGTGGGCCTTGGTTTGCTGACCCCTGTTCTAGGTGGAGGGGAGTGCATACCTGGATCTTGAGATGGGAATAAGCCTGGCTGGTTTAGAAACCCAAAGAATGAGCCAGGTGCCGTGGCTCATGCCTGTAATTCCAGCATTCTGGGAGGCCGAGGCAGGAGGATCACTTGAGCCCAGGAGTTGGAGACCAGCCTGAGCAAGAGTGAGAACCCGTCTCTCCTAAAAATAGAAAAAAGTAGCCGGGCGTAGTGGTGTGCACCTATGGCCCCAGCTGCTCAGGAGGCTGAGGCAGGAGGATCGCTGCCCTTTAAGGACACACTTGGAAGTAGCACACGGTGCTTCCACACACGTCTCTTAGCCACACCCAGTGACCAGAGTTGCCAGGAAAGGTAGTCTGTCGCTGGGGCCGCGTTCCCAGCTAAACGTTCTACTCCATAGCATCTCTGGACAGAGCGGGCATGGGGACAGCCAGCCACTGCTGCTGTAGGCACTCCCGTTTCTACCCCCCACGACTGATGGGAGAGTCAAGGCCCTAGGAAGCTATGTGCTGCCTTCTCTCCCCCACGCACTCGGTCGGGCAGTTCTCACTAAATTTGTTTTTAAGACATTCATCAGACTTCATTGATAAATGTGTGTGATTTGTGTGATCTCGTGGGGGTCTGGCTCCCTGCAAGAAATTAGGGACCTTGTCTCTTTTGGCCTGGCATTGTGTCCCCAGTGAGCCTGGCCCCAAAGAGGGGCAGACGTATCCTTGCTGAGTGGACAGGTGACAGGCTGCTGGGTGCTCAGGCAGGGAGGACGCCATCTAGGGATAGCTAGAGGGCCCCAAGGGGCATTGGTGGTCCCTTTTGGGTGGTGGAACCAGCTTGGGGCTTTCAGGTGGGACTGATCTGGGGTCAAGTTCCATTTTTTCCTGGGTGGGCAAATTTCATCATCTCACTCAACGTCAGTATAAAATGACAGGGAGATGCCAATCCGGCATGGTGTGGGGATCCTACAAGAAAAGCTCTGACTGCCCGTAACACTGCCCGATCTAAAACCTAGCGCCTAGCGCAGGAAGCCTTGTCTTCAGCGATAGGTTTGCCCCAAAGGCACGCCTCCCTCCCTGCTTGCTGTGTGCGGAAAGTGAGTTCAGATGCCCTGTGGCCCTGCCACTAGCTAACCGTAGCTGACCCGGCTCAGGGCTGTGGCATGAACAGCCACAGCACTGTTGTGTTCAGATGGAGACCCGTGTTTGTGAGAAGCCTTTGGAGCTTATTTACAAAACAGTCCCATCCTCCACCCCTGCTCCTGTTCTAGAATTGACCCACAGCAGGGAACAAGCCAGGGACAGGCCTCAAGGGAGAACACAGTGGCAATCCCAGCAGTGTGTGTTTATCTCACACCTTCATGCATCATGCCATGTGTCTCTGCCAACGGTGCCATCCCCTGCCGAGCCCCTGGTGGGAGCATCGCTGTCCCAGACCTGCCCGGTGGCCTCACTCTGGCAGGCTTGTGCCCCTCACTCATGCGAGGAAATGAAGGCGGTGGCCAAGACCATGGGCTCTGAACCAGACAGGCCTGGCTTCAAATCTTGCTTCAGCCCTGCCACCCCAGGCAGACAACTCCACCTCCTTGAGCCTCAGTTTCCTCGTCTGTAATCAGGCTGTCCCTGTCTCCTGTCGTGGGGTTGGGGGTAGGATTTAGCAAGGTAATGATGCAAGTGGCGTGCCCAGCCCTAGGGGAAGACACAGGAGTGGCCACTGCTCCTGGGATTGTCATGCAGGTATGAACGGAACCCTTTCCCTTCCTGGCCCAGGTGGAGAAGGAGAACTTTGTGATCCAACAACTGAAAAACCGCCTGCAGGAGGTGCTCAAGTTCTCGGAGAACAGCCTCCTCCGAACCAAGCAGGAGGCCGAGAAGCAGCAGAAGGCGGACTTCCGGGCCTCGCAGGCCAGGGTGGCCAAGATCCAACAGGAGATCCTGAAGCTGCGGTCACAGTTCCACAACCTGGTCACGGAGAACCGGGAGGCGGAGCAGGCGCTGAGAAAGGTGCCCTGGGAAGCATGGAGGATGGGACGGTGGGGCCCCTGGGGCAGGCAAGGTGGCGGGGCTGTCCCATCACTCCTGGAGGTCCGGCAGTGTTGGTCAGAGCAGGGAGCAGGGGAAGCCCCAACCCAGGCCGATGTCCCCTGAGAGGCAGGAGGGAGCAGCACACAGGCCTGGGAACTGGGGGACAGAGAGACTGGGCCCCTGCCCCAGCATCGCTGCATGCCAGCTTTGTGACCTTGCAAGTCCCTCAACTCCACCGACCCCACAGGGATAATAACACCCCCCTTGTCAGATGCCGGATGCCAGATGCGGTGGAAACGATGTAGCACGTGAACCTCAGGCAAATTCCTCAACCCCCTCTGAGCCTCTGTTTTCACCTCTGGAAAATGGAAATGATAAAATCGGTCCTGATGGGTTGTTATGAGAATAACATGAGATGACAGGTAGAGAGCTGGGGCACAGCAGGTGCTCTGTAAATATCTAAACATCCTCTCTTCATCCTCTCAACCAAGACTCCGGCCCAGCTTGCACCCAGCTTCCGAATCCCTGTCCTCACAAAGGGGACCCTTGTTCATACTTGTCCCCAGTCTCTTTTAGTGTCACAACTCTTGAGCATCTGATGAAAGCCATGGCCCCTCCCCCAGAAAAAAGGTACAGATGACACACGCACCCTGGCACACAGTTCTTGGGGGACCACGGACCCCCTGAAGCCAGCCCACCCATGGTGCCCAAGTTAAGAACTCCTGGTCTGTAGGATTAAGGAGTTGATTTATTTATTTTTAAGTAAGGTGAAATTTACATAATATAAAATTAACCATTTTAAAGTGAACAATTCAGTGGCATTTAGTACATTCACGGTGTTGTGCAGCCACTACTTCTGTCTAGTTCCAAATCATTACCACCTCAAAATGAAACTCTGTACCCATCAAGAAGGCACTCCCCTGTTCCCTTCGTCCTCCAGCCCCCAGCAATCGCTGATCTGCTTCCTGTGTCTATGGATTTGCCTACTCCAGACACTTCATGTGAATGGAATCGTACAGTCTGTGGCCTTTTGTGTCTGACTTCTTTCACTTGGCATCATGTTTTCAAGGTTCACCCATGTTAGAGCATGTATCAGTGCTTCATTCCTTTTTACGGCTGAATAAGACCCCATCGTATGTATGGGAGCTGACTTTTTTTTTTTTTGAGACAGGGTCTCATTCTGTCGCCCAGGCTGTTGTGCAGTGGTGCAATCATAGCTCACTGTAGCCTCGAACTCGTGGGCTCAAGCAATCCTCCCTCCTCAGCTTCCCAAGTAGCTAGGACTGCAGGCTTGTGCCACCACACACAGCGAATTTATTATTATTATTTTTTTTTTTCTGGAGACTGGGTCTAGCTATCTTGCTCAGGCTGGTCTTGAACTCCTGGGCTCAAGGGATCCTCCTGCCTCGGACTCCCAAAGTGCTGGGATTGCAGGCGTGAGCATCGCTCCCGGCTGGAGCGGATCTAAAAAACTAAATTAGATCATGTCCCCCCACGGCATCCCCTCTCGCTCTCCCTTGCATGAGAATGCAAAGGCTTCTCCTGCTGACACTCCCTCTGTGACACAGACTCCCACTCTCACTTTCTCGGGGACCACTCCTCCTGGCCACTCCATCCCAGCCACACTGGTTCAATTTCTGTCCTTCAAACACCACAAGCTTGCTCCTTCCTCAGGGCTTTTGCACCTGCTGCTCTCACTGCCTGGAATGTGCTGGAACACCCATTAGCTCTGTGATCGTGGGCAAGTGAGTTAGCATGCTGAGCCTCAGTTTCCCCATCCGTGGAATGGGGGAAAGAGTCCTTGTGTGAATGCAATTGTGAGGCATGTGAAGCCCCCGCCGCAGGGCCGGCTGCTGTAGACTGCTCGGTGCTGTTTAGCGTTCGTATCATCCCACCCAACGATGCCTCATTGGATCTTTTCAGAAGAAATACAAAGTGGAGACGGAAATCGAGAACTGGATCCAGAAATACGATACGGAGATGGGTGAAAAGCAGGTACGTGTCGCCGAGTAAGTCTGTCTCGCGTGCTTTTCCCAAGATCCTGGAGGAAGGGGAGGAGAAGCCCGAGGACGGTCCACGGATGGGGCCAAGTTCTGAGCCTCCCCAGAGAGGCCCCGAGTGGCCTGCGGCAGGTCCCCTCCCTGTGTCTCCAGGAGCTGTCCAGCCCGGAGCACAGGGTGAGAGGTGGGAGAGGAGGGAGCCGGAGCTGTGAGCCGCTAAGGCAAGTGCCTGACACGGGGCCTGGTGACCTTGGCTCCACGCGGTGTCCACATCCCACACTCCACGCTCCCTCCCAGCTCAGCTCCTGCCCGCACCCCACACGCCTGTCGCCACCCCGCACTTGGTCACTCAGCCAGTTTCTACTCCGTGCCTGGGACGTACCTGGGTGCTGGGTGGGATACAGCAGTGAAGAAAGGAAAGTCCCCGTTATCATTTGAAGGCTCCATTCTAGTGTCACTTACCAGCTGTGTGACCCTAAGCAAGGGCCTTGACCTTTCTGGGACCGTTTCTGCATCTGATCAACAGAAACAGTAATATCCATCTTTTGACAGAGGCGGGGATTCAGGGACACGCTATTGTTGCAAGTGTCTGTGGCCAGCACAGGATCTGGCCTGGAGGAGGTGCCCAGAGATGGTAGCTACACGTTGGGGCACCCCCAAACCCTTCACCCAGCTCTGGGATAACATCAGTGGCCTGTGGCCCTAACTTGGGAGCCAGGGAGGCCCAGGAAGCACTGGAGGTGACATCAGCCTGAGTGATCCAAAGCCTGGTGTGCTGTTCAGAGAGGGGCAAGTCAGGGCCTTGCTCTGTGTGGCCGTGAGTGCCCCAGGGCGGGCAGCTTTGCAGGCCGGTGCTGTTGTTTCTCTGGAGGGCTGTGGGTTCCTTGCTGGCAGGGATCTTGTCCATACAGCTCTGTGTCCTCTGGAAGTGCTCTGCTTATGGTACATGCTTGATAAATGTTAGAGGAGGGAGGGAAAATAGGTGTAAATTACAGCAGGAGAGACTGCAGTTAGACACAAGGAAGAACTCTGGGACTCAGTGTAGGACCTGAGAAAATTCTTTCTACTCTTGGTAACTTTGTGATACTGACCGCTTCCAAGGCAGCAGCTTCCACTTCTTGTGTCCACACTGGGTGCCTGGCACCATGTCCAGTATGTTGTGTCCATTGAGTCACTTAATCCTGGAAACAGCCCCCAGGTTTGGAATTGTCCCATTTCAGATGCACAAAAACAAAGGCCTGAAAGCTGAATTCCCTTAAGGTGTGGTGGAGCTGGGATTTACAACTGCCGGACTCACAAGCCCACGTCCTTTTCACGCCCATGGAATTATTTCAGCCGGGTGCTGCCCAGAGCCAGGATGGACCCCCGCCCCTCTCCCAATCTTGGCAGGGCCGCGATGGAGAAAGGCTCAGCTTAGTGTCATTGCGGTGGCGTTTGGGAGTGGTGGGGACGCACGTGGAGGGTGGGAGGCCGCACTCTGTGCCTGGCGACCGAGCCGCGCCCCTCCCCCAGGAGGAGTACGAGGACCTGGACCTCATGCACAAGGAGGAGAAGGCGCAGCTGCAGGAGCTGAAGCACAGGCACGACGTGCTGCTGGAGGAGTTTGCGCAGATCCGGGAGGAGCGGGAGATCCTCTCCAAGAAGCGGCTGGAGGCCGAGCAGGAGATGGTGCGCATGGTGCGCGCCGCCACGCTCATCCAGGCCGTGTGGAAGGGCTACCTGGTGCGCTCCCTGCTCAGATCCAAGAAGAAGAAGCGGGGCAAGGGCAAGGGGAAGGACAAACAGAAGGGCAAGGAGAAGGGCAAGGGGAAGGGCAAGGGGAAGGGCAAGGAGAAGGGCAAGGGGAAGGGCAAGGGGAAGGGCAAGGAGAAGGGCAAGGGGAAGGGCAAGGGGAAGGGCAAGGAGAAGCGCAAGGGCAAGAAATGAGCCCCCACCCAGAGCGCTCCTGACCCCAGCACTGACTGCGCCCGCGTCCTCCCAGAGATCAGGCCAGGGAGCCACCGAAATGGACGGCCCTGCAGTTCACGTTTTTAATGATCTTGCAAAATTCGAAAACATTTTAAATCACATTCATAGTAACAGGCTACAAATAAACCTCACTTTCCCCAGGGCTGTTGGCTGTGTGTGTCGGTGCCTGTAGATAGCCAGTTTCCACGAGGAGCGTGCGGGCCGGGTGTCAGCCCACAGATGACCGTTCCTTACTTCAGCCTCCGCGGGGAAACCAGACCCCAGCTGCAGCCCCCTCTGTCCCAGCCCAGAATCAGCCATGGCCGTGATGGGGACATCACCCACCTGGGTGGCAGGGTGTGGGTCACAGCTGGCACAGCGGGCACGGAGGCAGACGAGAACTGCAGGAGGAGCAGGGCCTCGGGTTTCAGGCTGCCCAGCGCCCTGTTCCGGGATCACCAACCTGCCTGCAACTCCTTCCGCCTCCAGCACTGTGAAAGCTCAGGCGTCATCCTGCGGCCGCGGTGGCCGGCAGCCTCACACTGGCTTTATTTGGTGCCCACGGAGTTGAACAGTTGGTTTTTTAATTAGTTCCTGACATGTGAAAAATCAGGGGCTAACACATAGATATCCAACTTTGTCTTTTCTGGAAAAAATCTCACTGTCCAGGTACCCCAGGCATGTGTGTTTTCCAGAGCTCAGCAGCTGTGTGCCCCTTTAGGTGGTTTGCCACAGTCCCCACCACTCCCAGCTGCCTCCCAGATACCGTGGCCTAGTGTCAGCTAGCCCTTAGCATCACACTCCAGCTATTGCTAGCTCTTACTATAGCTGGGAGAAAAAAGGGGTATTTTTGGCCCACGTCTATTAAAACACAGGGGAAGGGGGAAAAGGCCTACGAGAGGTGGCTATTTCAAGAAAAACCAAGCATGTGTGCGTGTTGGGGGTGGGTACCAACTCTTCGTGAAAGTTCTAGGAGTTTAAACATCCTACATGTTTAAAATGCAAAGCATGTCTGTACATGCGAGCGCAGCTGGTCTGCCTCCCTTATGGCCCGTCTGACCCCGCAGGCGTCTGCATGTGTCCCTGGTCCTGGCCACTGTGGGTCCCTCCCCAGCAGTGTCCACTCTCCCCTTCCCCAAGGCACAGGTACCAAACCAATAATGTGGCTTCCACCTGGGCTCCCTGGAAGCCCAGCGCTCCCTGGAGGTGCCTTAGGGGAAGATGGGGGCAAGAGGTGCAAAGCCCAGCCCCCACCTCCAAATCAACCAGGGCGGGAGGCTGGGATTCTGGGTGCAACTCCACGTGGGCAAAGGCTTTGCTATTTTTCGTAAGCCCAGGGCTCCACCCTAAGTGCTCTCCAGATGCAAGTGTCACTGTTTGGCCTTCTTGGACCCTCCGCTTGGCAAAGTCCTGGCCATTTATTTAAGGTGGGAAATGTATACATATGTTAATATATAACTTAAAAAGAAAACAAAAAAACTAGGGTCCATATTCTGAGTTCAGGAAGAACCAGCCAACTGATTACTTGGGGAATTAGCTGGAAACCGATGGGAGGAGCCCAGCATCGCAGGGGCCTGTGTTTCCAAACTCCAGTCACCCACTTGCCACTGCCATGATCTCTGCCACACCCTTGCACTACCTGTTGTATTATTTGTTATCTAAATCAACTCGGGCCTAATAATGGCCTCTACCCTAAGGAAAAAGGAGTTGTGAACACTCATGGCTTTGATGAGCTACTAATATATTTAATACATGAAAATAAATACGTGACGATTGAAATGAAAAACTGTTCACCCGCGTATCACCCAGATGCCCTTGAGTTCCCCTACGGGCCGCACAGAGCCTGGGAGAACTCCTCTGAGGCCTCCAGACTCAGCCGGAAACTAATCCTGAGCGGGAAGCTTGGCTTGAAGGGAGAGGAAGGGACCGTCCAGGTTGGCAATCTCACTTTTCTCACATCTAGTGGCAAGACAACGTGAGAGGAGGTGGAGGGCCCCTAGGTTGGCACTGATTTGGGATGTCGCTGAGACAGGGCTGGAGAGAGGCATCTTAAGGGGTGTCCCCCAAAACAACACTGGGGGGAAAAAGGCAGGGAGCAATAAGAGATTGTCAGGATAAAGAGAGGCACTGCCCACCCAGCTATGTCTGCCCTCATGGGGGCTTCTCCGATGCCTGGGGGTTACCCAGGTGACACTGAAGACCCCAGCCAGGGGCTACACCCTCCCACGACCCCATGGGCGACCCTGATGAAAGAACCTCATTTCCAAGGTGGCTTTGGTTTCTGGGTGGCCCCACCTCGGCGGGGGGTAGCTGGGACTGAAACACTGACTGAGCGAGCCCTGGGAGTTACCAGGGGGCTCCGGAAGGTGACCCCTGATGTGGAAGGCCTGGCACCCTGAGGTCCATTTGCGTGGGGGGCACTGGTGGCTGGGTGACCAGTGCTGGGGACACTCAGGTGGGTGAGGGAATGGGAACGTCCCCGCCTCAGAGGACGTGGAGAGTCTAACCCATCCACGGACAGCCTCCTGGAGTCTGCCGCCACCCTGGGCTCTGCCTTCGAGGGACCAGCCGGGTGAACGGCTCGCAGTGGGGTCTCCCTGGAGCGGGGCGAGTGGCTATCCCTGGGGGTAGCTGGTGGCGTCCAGAAGAGGGCATGGAGTTTCGCAGCATCCCCCTTGGCCATCCACGGGGACTCCCGGCTGGCACCCTCAGGTCGGGAGCCAAACAGCGACTCGTCACAGTAAGATGGAGTGTGGCTGATCAGTCTGGCAAAGGGAAGAGAAATACAGTGAGCTGGGGCACGAGCAACACCTAAAAACCTTAAACCCCGCCCCACCAGACACCTGCAGCAGCAGAGAAGGGTTGCTTATAGATCCCGGGAGTCCTTGTCCCCCAGACTGGCACCCACAGTGAGGCCGGAGCCCTCTCATGCATCACTGCCCCATCTCTTGTTTTTCCCCCCCGCATTCTGACCCAGCTCCCTGGCATGTGCCCTGGGTCTGGCCAATTTGCATATTCCATCCTCCCGGCTGCACTGATTGGCCCAGGAATGGCCAGATAACCCGAGTCTGTGCAATCAGAGTATGCCTTAGGACCTTAGCCAAAAATACTAGGAAAGGGATGTTTTCCTACCACCCGGCCTTGCTCCTTGCTAAGCTGACAGGATGTCAGCCCAGAGCAGCTTGAGGCCACCTCACTCCTGCTGGAGACTGAAGGACATGCAGGGAAAGCAGCACTAAGATGGAGACAATCCCAACTACAGTTTGAGCCCATTACATAAGCCCCAAACATCCTTTTTCTAGGGAAGCCAGTTTCAGTAAGTTTCCTGTCACTTGCAACCAGGAGTCCCAAGTAATTAATCCAACCTTAGTCTTTACAGCCTTCACAGTTTTTCTTTCACCCACCACTTTTTCTCTCAAATATGGTAGGCCCCCGTACTATATTTGAAATTGCCAAACACAGTGCCTGGCATGTATAGGGTGATCAGTTTGAGCTTCTATTATAGAGTCGGCCTGGCTTCACCACCAGAGAAGCTTTTTAAAATTCTAGATATTTACCAAGCGCTTTTCATTTGCAGGCCCAGGGCTCAGCATGTCACATGCATTATCTCATAATTTCTTCCAACATGTATATAAGGTAGATGTCAAAATTAACCCCATTTTACAGATAAGGAAACGGAGGCACAGGTAGGGTAAGGCCCCACAGCAAGAATGCGGTATACACAAGATTCAAATCCAGTCTGGATCAAGGATCCAAACTATTAACTTCTAATGCAGACATGAATGCTTCCTAGGCCTCTTATCTTTAGTTAGGTTCATTCGCCAACTACTTTTTTTTATTAATTCAAGAAATATTCACGGCATATACCTACGAGGCGCCATACCCATGGTTTTGGGCCAGGACTGAGTGTTTCCGTCCCCAAACTGCAAGTCTTTGACGCCTGTATCTGTCTGGAGCTAAGGCGTTTGCTCGGGAACTTCTCTACTTCTTACATATCCCCCCAACTTATCAGTATAAAGAAAATTCCGTCCTCTAGGTGAGCATGGGGTTGACTGCCGCCTCCCTTTCATGGACACCATACTTCTGTTGATGCAGCCGATGTTTATATCAGTGTTTTCAGCCAGGTCGTGGAATGTTGTAGGTGTTAGTGTTGCTAGTCTCAACCTTACCCTGCTTTGTGGTCTACAGAACTGTCAAGTATGTCGCCCTCAACCTGACATGATAATAACTGATTCTTGCTTCTACCTCTGTTGATCTTATCTCTTTTAATAGGTACCATTTCCATTCTCATTTCTCTCATCTGACATATGTCCCCCTGATTCATAATGCACCCTAAATTTAGTTGGCCAGTTGTTATGGACTGAATTGCGTCATCCCCCCAAATGCATATGCTGAAGTCTAACCCCAAATGTGACTATATTATTTATATTAATTTGAGGTAATTAAGGCTAAATAGCTTATAAGGGTGGGGTCCTAATCCAATAGGACTGCTGTCCTTATAATGAGAGGAAGAGACACCAGGAGTGAGTGCATCGAGAAAAGGCCACGTGAGGACACAGTGAGAAAGTGGCCATCTGCAAGCCAAGGAGAGAGGCCTCAATCCCACTACGTAGGGACCACTGGTCTTATTTTTCACATGAAAATTGCAGCTCAGAGAGGTCAAGGTGCTTGCCCAAGGTCACAGAGCAGGTGAATAGCGGGGCAGTAACAGGAACCCAGGTGGCTACACCAAGTGCAGGAATGCATCTCCCCACCCTGTTACCTGTATTTGTTCTTCTTCCTGGGTGTGAGGGTCGGGGTGATGCCCCTGGAGTGGGTGGTCTCATAATTCCCCTGGGCCCCCGAGGTCTGCAATGCCCCTGTGCCCACTCCTCTGGTTCTGTTAGCCTTCTCCACCCAGGGTGGGTCAAAGTCTGGTGGGGCGGCGCGGGTGCCTGCAGGGCTGCCAAACAGAGTCTCATCCACGTACGATGCCCTGGCCTTGACCCGGCAGCCACCCCGGCAGCGGTGTTGCAGGTGGAGGGTCTGCATGCCACTGATGGTCAGCTCCATGGGGGTCTTCATGCTGCCTGTGGTCCTGGGTTACAGCAGGTGTGCTCTGCCCGCCAGGCCCTGCCTCCAAGGCTCCCTGTGAAAGGGGGTCAGGGTGGCACCCCTGAGCCAACGCTGTGCCAGTGGAGGAAGACTGGCAGTCTCTGAAGTCCTCCTCCCAAGGTCAAAAGGGCCTAGATCCCCCTCGACCAGTCCTCCTCAAAGGGGAGCTGTCAACCTCAGGGGGCATTTAGGACATCTGTTTGACTTTTTTGTTGTCATAGTGATGGGGAAAGGGGTGCTTTTGGCAAATATTTAATGAAAAAAATAAAAATGCACTTCCAGCATACAGTGTGTGCCCAACAAATATTTATAGAATGATTACGGGGGGAAGGAGAGATGGCACCTGTGCCTAGTTGGCACCAACCAGAAACAACCTATGGTGGGAGTAGGAGACAGGCACTTCCCTATATCCTGCGTGTATCTGCAGGGGTGGGGACAGTGATAGCCAGTATTGATCTCATGCTTACCTCGTGCAAAGAGCTTTACAAGCATTGTCTCATTTAATCCTCTCAACAGCACCATAAAGTAGCTTCGATTTTGTCCATTTTACGGATCGCAAAACTGAGGCTTCAAAGGGTGAAGTCACATTTGCAGGTCACACCTATAAAGCAAAAACAGCGGAAGTGGAACCTGGTATGAATCCAGAGCTTGCGCGCTTTACTCTGCTACTGGGAGCTCACGCGTCCCCCCAACACCCCAGCCACCGCCCCACATTCTGTGATCCCCAAATCAATAGCCGGGTTGATGCCCGCGGCCCCTGCATTCTCGAGATATTCCCCTACCTGCGCATCTTGGCTCATGGGTGTCAGACAGAACCCCCAGCGCCGCCTCTCCGCGCCTCTCTTCCACCAGGTCTGCGCCCCCAGACGAAGGCGCAGGGCCGTGCATCAAAGATCCCCGCTAACTTGCAGTCTGGAATCCCGGGGGCACGGGACCCGCAACAGCCCAGGCCACGCCAGGCGCAGCGCGAGGCCGGCCCTAGCGACGTGGGACCGGCGCGCGCATCAGGCAAACAGCAACAAGCGCGGCGCGCGGCCCCTACCATTCGCGTCCGGGGGTGCACCTCCCCCGCCGCCGCGCAGTGGGTGCGTCCGCGCAGACTCCGCCCTCCCGGTTCCGGGCGCCGGGCCCGCATGGCGGCCGGCACGCGCGCGGCGGCCGGGCCTCGGTCGCGAGCGGCCATGGCCCAGTGGAGGAAGAAGAAGGGGCTCCGGAAACGCCGGGGCGCGGCCTCCCAGACCCGCAGCAGCGACTCGGAGGACGGCGAGTTCGAGATCCAGGCGGAAGATGACGCCCGGGCCCGAAAGGTAGGGGCGCCGGGCAGGGACGCGCACCGGGGCCCGAGACCGGCTCCGGGCAGCGCCGCGAGGCCTGCTCCCCAGCCGAGGAGGGGCACCGCAGGCGGTGGGGACGAAGTCTGCAGGCCCGCGGACGGGGGTCCGCGCCGCCGGCCCGAGCACGTGTCTCGGGGCCCGTCGCCCCGGGTCCCCGGGCCGGAGCCTCCAGAGTCCCGGGCTCGGGCCTGCAGGTCTTCCTGCCGCTGTCGGTCGCGCGCCCCTCATTGGCTACCTCCTGCCCAGGGGGCGGGCGCTACTTCCTGTTCGTCCAATGAAAAGTGCGGGTGCACAAGCTCTGACTTTGAGAGTTTGGGGCGTTCTCCTGAGGCTGAGTTAAGGGGTGGCCAGACCTGGTGGCTTGAGACAGTGACGCCAAAACTCTGGGGAACTTAGTAGGAAATTACACTCGTGCTAAGAGCTTTACAAGCCTTATCGTTTAATCCTGTGGCTCACACCTGTGAGCGGTGGCTCACACCTGTGATCCCAGCGCTCTGGGAGGCCGCGGCGGGAGGGTCGCTGTAACTCAGGAGTTCGAGACCAGCCTGAGCAAGAGCGAGACCCTGTTTCTGCTAAAAACAGAAAAAATTAGCTGGGCATAGTAGCACGCGCCTGTAGTCCAGGTACTTGAGAGGCCGAGGCAGGAGGATCGCTTGAGCCCAGGTGTTGGAGGTTGCTGTGAGCTGGGCTGACGCCACGGCACTTTAGCCGGGGCAACAGAGCGAGACTGTCTCAAAAAAAATAAAAAAATAAAATAATAATCCTCACCCCGACCTAAGTGCTGTCATTCCCATTTTTCCAGAGGAGGAAACCGAGGCCTAGAGGGTTAAGAAACGTGACCAAGACCTCACAGCTTGTGAGTGGGGAGAGCCGGGATTCAAACCCCAAATTGTCACGTTTCAGGACCTGTGCCATTTGCACTACTGAGTGCCAAATGAATGAATGCACATAGTGGGGACAGGTGTGAGCACCAAGGGGGCAGAAGAAGTGTGGTCTATTAGTCCCCACAGGTCCTCACAGTCCTGGCCTGGCACAGAGTGGCCTTCTACAGCTTCCTCTTTGGCCGTATGTGTGGTTCACACCATGGAGAGGTTGCTTAACCTCTCTGTGCCCGAGATTCCACATCTGTAGAAGGCAAATGATTGTGTCTCAGAGATTGTTGAAAAGTTTAAATGCCACACTGTTCATACATTTTACTCATTCATAAATCTTGTGTGTCTCAGGCACTCTGTTTTGTGTACCTAGAGCAGGGGTTGGCATCCTGTTCCTAAAAAAGGCCAGATGGTAAATTTTTTAGGCTATGTGGGGCAATGTAGGGTCAGTGTCTTCTTTGATGTTTTTTTTCCTTTTACAATCCTTTAAAATGTAAAAACCAGGCCTGGGCGAGGTGGCTTGCCTGTAATCCTAGAACTGTGGGAGGCCGAGGCAAGAGGATCGCTTGAGCTCAGGAGTTCAAGACCAGCCTGAGCAAAAGTGAGACCCCATCTCTACTAAAAAACTAGAAAGAAATTAGCTGGACAACTAAAAATATATAGAGAAAATTATCTGGGCATGGTGTGGCACATGCCTGTGGTCCCAGCTACTCAGGAGGCTGAGGCAGGAGGATCACCTGAGCCCAGGAATTTGAGGTTGCTGTGAGCTAGGGTAACACCACCGCACTCTATTTTGGGCAACAGAGTGAGACTCTGTTTCAAAAAAAAATAAAAAAATAAAATGTAAAAACCATTTTCAGCTCATGGGCTGTCCAAAGACAGGCTGTAGCTCTGACCTAGAAGGTTCTAGTCGATCACAGAGGGTCAGAGTGGAAAGAACAGAGACTTTGAAGACAGGGTTCAAATCCCTGGTCCCCTGCTTGCTGAATGTGTGACTTTGCATAGGTCACTTTACCTCTCTGTGCCTCAGTTTCCTTCTCTGTCAAATAGACATGATGATAGTACCCACTTCATAGAGTTGCTATGGGGATTAAGTGGGTTAGTTTATGCGTATGCGGAGCAGCCCCTGGCTTGGTGCCATGTGAGTTTTAGCCATTCTTGTGAATTACTGTCCCACAAATGCTATTTCTGAGAGGAAGGGGACAGCCCTGTAGACTGAAGGCTCCCCAGAGGAGGCATCGGGTTGGATTTAGCTGTGCTAGGACATCTGGGTCCTGGCTGAGCGGAGAGAAGGAGGCCAGGTACAAGAGAGAGCGGAGTGGGTGTGATGGATCTGGAAGGAGATTGGTTGGAGGAGGGGGCAGGACAACTTGGAGAAGTCTAGTACCTCACGCCTAGTAGGCCTTTCGATTGGCTCTTTAAGGGTTTTGAATGACATGCCAGGATTATGATGGTGGTGACATCACCAGCTACGTGCTGGGCACCTTTCTAAGCCTCACGCTTACCCAGTTAATCTTCACAACACCCCGTGAGGCCTGTGCCCTTGCCATCCCTGTCCAGATGTGGAAGCTGGGGCTCGGGGAGATTAAGTCCCTTACCCGAGGTCTCACAGCTGGTAAGTGACAGAGTTGGGTTCCAGCTGAGGCAGCGTATCTGCGGAGCCCACGCTGAACCTCTCCCTGTCCTGGGCCTGGCAAAGGAGGACCTGTTAGCAGAGAAGTCGTGTGATCTGGCGGGAGCATCATCGGCTTGAATGGGGGAGAGACGGGCACCGGGACAGCCCCCTCCCTGTGCCTAGTGGTCTTGGTTGTGCCTGAAGTGACGCTGCCTCTGTGTTTTCCCCCTCGCAGCTGGGGCCTGGCAGACCCCTGCCCACCTTCCCCACCTCGGAATGCACCTCGGACGTGGAGCCGGACACCCGGGAAATGGTTCGAGCGCAGAATAAGAAGAAGAAGAAGTCTGGAGGCTTCCAGTCCATGGGTGGGTGAGCGAGCTAGCTGGGCATGCGGGGACTCTGGGGGAGCAGCAGCAGGGGGTCACCGCACCCTCCGCACTCAGGGGAGGACTGATGTCCCCTCTGGGCCCAGCACTGTGGCAGGTGTCCGGCAGACAGAGGGAACAGACAGGGTCTCCAAGGCATTCAGGGCCTTCTCCTGGGGGCAACAGGCCTGACCCAAGGAGAGAGCAGTTAGAGCAGGCCTTGGAGAAGGCGGTGGTGGCGCAGGGACAGGCCAAGACCATCAGGGATTTACTGCACAGCGGGATGACATTTCAGAGGGAGGGAAAAGATGGGATGGTTGGGTGGTGTTGGGACACCTGGCTAGCTGAGTAATGCTGAACTCTCTTGCTCTTTACAAATTGGTAGCAGCTGGAGCAAGGATTTAAGTATTAAGATGAGGCTGGGCACGGTGGCTCACGCCTATAATCCTAGCACTCTGGGAGGCCGAGGCAGGAAGATTACTTGAGCTCAGGAGTTCCAGACCAGCCTGAGCCCTGAGCAAGAGCGAGACCCCATCTCTACTAAAAACAGAAAAATTCAGCTGGGCGTGGTGGTGAGGGCCTATAGTCCCAGCTACTCGGGAGGCTGAGGCAGGAGGCAGGAGGATCGCTTGAGCCCAGGAGTTTGAGGTTGCTGTGAGCTAGGCTGACACCACTGCACTCTAGCCCAGGTGACAGAGCAAGAGACTGTCTCAAAAAAAAAAACTAAATATCAAGATGACTATTTTTATGATCTTAGAAAGGAAAAGAAGACCTTTCTAAGTGTTACCTGAGCACCATTTACTTTGAGTTTTTTTGAATTAGACATCTCTATGCCAAAAAGCAATATAAACTAATTTAATGTGAATGCTAGCCTGGGAATACATTTGCAACCTGTGGGACAGACAAAGGGTTACTGTCTCTAATATACAAACAGCTCTTACAAATCAATAAGAAAAAGACGAACACCATGATATAGAATGAGGGAAGAAAATGAACAGTCGTTTCACCAAAGGAATCTGAACGGCCAGTTAGTACACCAACAATGCGCTAACGCTCCACGGTCAGCAGAGAAAACAACTACCAGCATCTCCGTGTGGGTATTTTCGGCCTTTCTGAATCCCGAAGATAAAAGATCGACCACAAAGCAGCGGGACCGTGGTGCTTTTCTCCTTCCAGGCCGTCCACTGTCCTCGTCTCCAGGGGCCCAAGTCATGTCCAGTCCCCAGAGGCCACCCCGCACCTTTTACCGCCATGTGCCTCGTTTCTCAACACACGAGCCTTTGTCACTAAATATCCTCTTTATTTTTTAATTATTGAGAATTTTGAACATACGAAAAGAATAGAATACAGTGAGTGTCCACAGACCCCCCCCTCCCAGCTTCAGGAGACTTTAATAGTCTTGTCTTAGCCACTTCCCACCGCCCTGGGTGTCTGAGGCACCCCAGACATCCTCTCATCGTAGCTGTAAATACTCCACACAACCTCCAGGGGGTGCAGGACCTTACCACGCCTGAAACAAACGCACAACTTCTCAGTGTCATCTCAGACCCCATCGGCGTCCAGAGATGCCCCCTTGTCTCGTGACATCAGGAGTGGGCTCCGGTCAGCATCCGGATAGGGCTCGTACACTGCTGTCGGTGTGTTTGTTTCTTAAGTCTCATTTAAGCTGTCGGTTTTGCTTTATCGCTTTTCTTTTTTTTCCTTGCCATTTATTTGATGACGGAGCAGTCGTTTGTCCTATAAGTTTTTTGAGGGCTGTGGTGCTTTGGGGGTCCCCAGCTCCTGACCCTTTGTATGTCTCCCTCAGGCTTGAGCTACCCGGTGTTCAAAGGCATCATGAAGAAGGGCTACAAGGTGCCCACGCCCATCCAGAGGAAGGTGAGGGACGGGGACGGGTGACTTGGCCCTCCTGTCTGGTCTTTGACAGCCACCCCTTGTCCCAGCTGTCACATCCCTTGCCCCCTTTACTCCAGCCAAAGCCCCCCGTAGCACGCCCATTTCACAGGTGGAAAGAGTTGGGCCCACATCTGGGTCCCCACGCAGGCAGCTCAGGTACCCCCTCATCACCTGGGCCTCCTGGTTATTGTCCCCAGATGTTTAGCCAAGTAGGGGACAGCGTATCTCTGGGGTCCCAAGGAGGAGGATCAGACAGGGAGGTAGAGTCTGGCTCACCCTGAAGAAGGATGTTCCAGCAGTGGAAAGAGTTGGTGGTAGTGAGCTGTTTATCCCTGGAGGTATGCAAGAATAGGCAGGAACGGGATCAGGGCTGGGTGACAGGCCCCCACACATTCACTGAGATCCCTCAGTGCACCCACTTCCCAGGGCTCGAGGCTCTGGCTCACATGGTGTTGGGGTGCAGGAGCTGACCCCCGCCCTCCCTGCTCGCCCCTCCGCAGACCATCCCGGTGATCGTGGACGGCAAGGACGTGGTGGCCATGGCCCGGACGGGCAGCGGCAAGACGGCCTGCTTCCTCCTCCCCATGTTCGAGCGGCTCAAGACGCGCAGTGCCCAGAGCGGGGCCCGCGCCCTCATCCTGTCGCCCACCCGCGAGCTCGCCCTGCAGACCATGAAGTTCACCACAGAGGCGCGTCTGGGCCGGGGCGGCAGGCAGCTGGGCTGCCTCGGGACCGGGAGGGGAGGCGCGAGTGGGCCGAGTCGTCTCCCCCACCCTCTCTCAATCAGTTTCTCTCTCTCTCCACAGCTGGGCAAGTTCACCGGCCTCAAGACCGCCCTGATCCTGGGTGGGGACAAGTAAGGGCTCCCTCGCCCCGTGCCGTGGTCAGCACCACGCAGGCATGCCCCTGTGTCTCAGAATTAAACGGCAGCCTAGATGTCATGTTTTAATAGGCCTAACTGCAGGTTGTCGAAAAGTGGCATGTGCAGAAATCGAGCAATGTCTGTAATAGTTCAGATGTGTAAGATGTATTGTTTCCTTGTGCTGTACCCTCCTTCCTCGGTGGCAGGTGCCACACCTGTGGTACGGATGAGCAAACTGAGGAAGAGACAGAGCCAGGCCGTGATTCCGTATCAGAGCTGGGATCAGCATCTAGTCTCCTGCCTGGCCCCGTCCGCCATTCCCCTCTTCCTCTCTCAAAGGGCAGCCCCTTCTTAACAGGCACTCGTGATTCTCTGAGTTTGGCTTTTCAGGGCTTTCATCTACATTGTAATTTATTATCTCAATAGTTTGGGCTTGTCAGGCCTCCCTGGGCTAGTCCTGGCCCAGGAGTCTGGCTCCTACAGGTGTCCCAAGGGTGTTTCAGAGGAGGACTAGGGTTCGGGATGTGTGCCCAAGAGATTGAAGGACAAGAACACAGAGATGCAGGGAACCTGGGTTCTGGTTGGAGCTTGCAGTTCCAGGGTTAGTTGCTAGATGGCGCTGTCGGTTGGAGGCAACTTTGTTACTATCTGGAGCAACAAAGGGAAGGAGGTGGGTTCTGTGGTTGAGCCTATCTCTGTAGGCAATTCTTTGTTGTAACAATTCTTTTGTGTGTTTCAACTTATGTCTCTTGTCAGGGCAATGCCTCTGCTAGTATTTTAGCAATAGCCTGTCCTCAGTTCCAGTCTGAGTTCCTGGGGCTGAGGTGTGGGGCCTCGTGGGCATTTGATTATGGGAAGGGAGAGATACCTGAGAGACCTATTCAAGCTCATTCCTCCTGTCCTCCCCAGAATGGAAGACCAGTTTGCAGCCCTGCATGAAAATCCTGACGTGTGAGTTTGTGGATTGGGGGGTGATGCTCTGGGGTCCCTTCCCAGATGGGCAGTGACTGGGAGGGAGGGGTGAGAGGGCCCTGGGGTGACCTGGCCTGTGCACCCCGTTCCAGAATCATTGCCACCCCTGGGCGGTTGGTGCACGTCGTGGTGGAGATGAACCTGAAGCTGCAGAGCGTAGAGTACGTGGTGTTTGATGAAGCCGACCGGTAAGGCTGCAGTCCAGCCCTGAGCGCTGGGTCAGGGTGTCCCCCAGACTGGGAAAGCAGACGGAGGGGAGGCCAGCGGGGGAAGGCTCTGCCAGGAGAGACCTGTGGGGGCGGGAGAGAAGCAGCGTCTCCCCAGGTGTGGGCTGCAGACCTCAAGCAATGCAATAAAATAACTCACGTGTGATCTCAAAGAGTTTTTAAAAAGCACAAAGTTGAGAGCATGGCCTCAGGAGCCAGCCAGGGGTGGGACCCCATCCTAGCTCTGCGAACGTGGGCCAACCATTGGGGGCTCTGGGCCCCCCTGCAGTTGAGCACGGGCTGCCTCCACTGCAAAGCAGGGGTAAAATGGCACATCCCGCGCAGCGTCCGCGAGGAGCAAGGACGGTAATGAGCTTAGAGCCACGCTTAGCACGGAGCGAGGGCTCCTATCGTTATTTCAACACGAATAAGAAGCAACTGGGATGAATAAGAAACAACTGAGACGACAGATTCCTGATTGCAAGGTCTCTGTTGCTCAGGACGAGGTTGCGTGGTAGAGAGTAGAGTTAAAGAAGTATGTGGGGCAGTCACGGCACACAGGGACGCCCGAGGCTGGAAGTGGCTGGAGTGGCTTCCCCTCTCTGACCCCTCCCGCCCCTGCCCTCCGCCCTGCCAGGCTCTTCGAAATGGGCTTTGCAGAGCAGCTGCAGGAGATCATCGCCCGCCTCCCCGGGGGCCACCAGACCGTGCTGTTCTCGGCCACGCTGCCCAAGCTGCTGGTGGAGTTCGCCCGGGCAGGTGAGTGAGAGGCGGATGGAGACGGGGGCCGGCGGTCTCGTCCTTCGTTGACCCCCCCCCCACCTGATCCTCCCCGTGCCTCCCGCAGGCCTCACGGAGCCCGTGCTCATCCGACTAGACGTGGACGCCAAGCTCAATGAGCAGCTCAAGGTGAGGCTGCACCTGCCATCCTGTCCCAGGCCGACATGTCCAGGTGGCCCGTGGCCAGGACCCTGTGAGCCCACCCCCGTGGCCCCTCTTCCCGCAGACCTCCTTCTTCCTGGTTCGCGAGGACACCAAGGCTGCCGTGCTGCTCTACCTGCTACGCAACGTGGTGCGGCCCCAGGACCAGACGGTGGTGTTCGTGGCTACAAAGCACCACGCCGAGTATCTCACCGAGGTGAGCAGGGCCCTGATGGTGCCCAGGGTGGGGAGGACGCCACTGGGCCCCCCTGTGGGGACCAGCACTGCCTGCAGCAGGACCTTGGAGCTGCAGTTCCGTCTGTGGCCACGAGAGGGCAGCACCAGAGCAGCCCATGGGCCTGCCTGGGCTGGAGACTTTGTTGTTTTTTTTTTTTTTTTTGAGACAGAGTCTCACTGTGTTGCCCGGGCTGGAGTGCCGTGGCATCATCCTAGCTCACAGCAACCTCAAACTCCTGGGCTTAAGCGATCCTCCTGCCTCAGCCTCCCGCATAGCTGGGACTACAGGCATGCACCACCATGCCCAGCTAATCATTTCTATGTATTTTTAGTTGTCCGATTAATTTCTTTGTATTTTTAGTAGAGACGGGGTCTCGCTCTTGCTCAGGCTGGTCTCGAACTCCTGAGCTCAAACAATCCGCCCGCCTCGGCCTCCCAGAGAGCTAGGATTACAGGCATGAGCCAAAATTTGTTATTATTTTAAACGTTTTGTTAGGAAAAACTTCAGGCACATACAAACATCATAAAATAGTATAATGAACTCCCAGGTGCTTGTTATTTAGGTGTAACTGTTACCAACTCATGACTGGTGTTATTAAGCTGTTACCTTCCCTAAGCGTATCCCAGCCGTCCTGTCACTTTCCGTAGACTTTCAGTGTTCAGTGTGTTTGACGTTTTAAAACTGAGGCGTAACTCACGTGCAGTAAAAGCTGTGCGAAGCGCCCTTCGCGCGTGGGAGCAGTTTCTTCGTGTGTGTGTGCCTGTGTGACCCCTGGCTGGACCGGAGCGCGCAGGGTCCCCTCCCAGCGGTGTCAGCCACTACCCGGTCTCTTGTCTGAGGACACGTCCACTGGGTCACGCACGGTCAAGTCACACACACTTAGCATGCTTCCTGTGTGGGGCTGCTGGGGTTGCCGGTGAATAAGACTGAAGCAGTGATTTTTAAAGAACAGGTAACACTTCACGGCCCTTCTACGTCCCAGGCTCTGTTGCCAGTGCTGTATGCGCATTAACTCGTTTAAGCCTCATGACAGAGCTACAAAGGAGGAGCGATTATTCTCCCCGTTCTACAGATGAGGAAATCAAGGCACAGAGAGGTTTGGTAGCCTGCCCAAGGCCACAGAGCTTGTTAGCAACAGAGTCAGGGTGAGGCTTGTGTCCTGGGGTGGCACATGCAGCTTCTTTAAAGGAGCCCTCCGCACACGTCCTCTCCTTTGACACTCAGACAACCCTGTGGAGAGGTGCGAGGTGACATAGCCCCGTTTATACCAGCAAAGATACCAAACTGGGGTCACCCGGCAGAGCTGGGGTTCAAATTAGGAGTGCCAGACCCAGACCCAGTCGTCTCACTCTGCGCCATGGCACCCACCCCTGCCATGGCCTGGCCCCTTCTCCTGTCCTCTCCCCTCAAAGTCTCCTCCTCTTGTCCCTCCTCTTTGCCCCGAGCAGCTGCTGACGACGCAGCGGGTGAGCTGCACTCACATCTACAGCGCCCTGGACCAGACGGCCCGCAAGATCAACCTGGCCAGGTTCGCGCACGGCAAGTGCTCCGCCCTCATCGTGACCGACCTGGCTGCCCGGGGCCTGGACATCCCACTGCTGGACAATGTCATCAACTACAGCTTCCCTGCCAAGGGCAAGCTCTTCCTGCACCGCGTGGGTGAGGGCCTGGGCCCGGGCATGGGCAGGGCAGTCCCAGCGGGAGCCGGGTGTGGGGCCCAGCTCCTGCCTCTGCAGGTGGGGAAACCAGGGCTCAAGGAAGGGCCAATACATTAAAATCTCTGGGGGCCGTGGCCTGGGCGTGACCCTAACGGCAGCCCACGCCCTGAGTAGGCGATCCTCCTTCTCCTTCCGGGCTCCCAGTCCTGGCTTTATCTGTCTCTCACCGCCATACTGGACAAAGTGGGCCTCAGCTCCTCCCCGCAGTCCTCTCCCAAAACTGGCTCTTTCGCTTTTCTCCCAGGAGCCTTTGCAACCTTTAAGGCGCGTACCGGCCTTCTGCCTCCTGTCCCATCAGCTCCGGGTGGCATCTCCTGACTTCCCAGCTTTGTCGGATCAGGGTGTCGAGCCCCCACCTTCCCCTCATTGCTCCCAGGTCAATGCACCCCGTTTAATTTTTTTTTTTTTTTTTTAAGGGACAGGGTTTTGCTCTGTTGCCCAGGCTGGAGTGCAGTGGTGCAGTCATAGCTCACTGCAACCTTAAACTCTTGGGCTCAAGTGATCCTCCTGCCTCAGCCTCCCGAGTAGCTGGAACTATAGGCCCACACCACCCCTACACCCTGCTAATTTTTTTTTTTTTTTAAGAGATGGGATATCACTATGTTGGCCAGGCTGGTCCCAAACTCTTGACTTCAAGCGATCCTTCCACCTCAGCCTCCCAGAATGCTGGGATTACAGGCGTGAGCCACCACACCTGCTCCTGTTTAGTTTTTTTTATTACAAAAGTAATAGGATTCCAACATGAATTTTGGGGGCTACAGTTCACTCCATAACATATTCACTGTAGGAAAATGGGAAAAATCAGCAAAGCACCCAGAAGGCGGTGAGTCACCCAGCCCTCTCTGGTGACTGGGATGGCTCAGGTGCCGGGGTCTGGCCCTGGTCCGAGCGTGTACTTGTAGCCCTGCCTTCGTCCTCACAACCACTCTGCAGTGGGCACCTTCAGCAGCAGCTCCATTTTTCAGATGAGGAAACTGAGGCCAGGGAGGTTAACTCACTGACCAGGTGTCATACGGGTTGCTAAGTGCGGAGGCAGGATCAAACCCGAGTACAGGTGGTCCCCGACTTAACAATGGTTCAGCTGATAATTTTTCAACTTTATGATGATACTCACACAACCAATCTGTTTTTCGCTTTCAGTACAGTAGCATTTAATTACATAAGCCATGAAATACTTTTTTATAAAAATAAGTTTGGTGTTAGATGATTTTGCCCAGCCGTGAGCTAGTGTAGTGTTCCGAGCACATTGAAGGTAGGCCAGGCGTGTTAAGTGCATTTTCTACTTACGATGGCTTTGTCAGGACATGGCCCCACAGTAAGTCCCTACGTCCCATCAGAAGTCGAGAAGCATCTGTAGTCTCATTTCGGAGACCACTATCCCCCATTGCTCTCTGATGGCATGGCCGTCATTTTGGTGTGTGTCCTTTGCCACCTTCTTCTAACTTTTGTTTATTTATTTATTGTGAAACATACGTAACGTGCAGTTTACCGTTTTAGCCATTCTCAAGAGGACAGTTCAATAGCATTAAGTACATTCACGGTGTTGTGCAGCCACCACCACCACCCGCCCCCAGAACTTTTCATCATCCCAAACGGAAACTCTACCCACTAAACATCTCCCCATCACCCCCCAGCCCCCCATAGCCACTATGCTACTTTCTTTGCCTTCTTTTAACTCGTAAGCGTACATATTATGTTTATGAATGTAGGAAAGTTAACGTGGATGCAGGAGAGAAGAAACTGGTGGGCAGGTTTCTTCGAGTTGTTCTGCACGTGATTGAATAAATGTATTCTGGCTGCCCGGGGTGGGGCGTGGGGGCCCCTGGAGAAGTGATCTGAGGGGTCGCAGCAGGGACTCTGCCCTGCCACCCTCCAGGCAGGGCTCGTGGGTCTTGGCCTCGGGCCTTGGGGACACATCTCCCTCTTGGTGCCATCTGCTGTCCCGCAGTTTCTGCTGCTCTGTGGAAGGCTGGTTCTGCGTGTCCCTAGAGAGGTCCCCAGGGCCCCCCAAAGGGAATTTCTCATGTGCCACATGACCAACAGGGTAAATCAGACAACCTCAAGTGACATCTCCAAATGTGGTAACACTTTGTTTTCCTAAGATGCAGATATAAGCCACAACGTAACGATACACATGAATTCACTCAAGACAAAATTAGAATCATCATGGGTGTTCTTTTTATAGTCTGCTTTTTTTTTTTTTTTTTAAACATCACCGTGCATCATGTTTTTTCCTTTCTTAAGCTTGACCTCTCCTTCCTGCAGGCCGTGTGGCCCGGGCCGGCCGAAGTGGCACAGCCTACTCTTTGGTGGCCCCAGACGAAGTCCCCTACCTGCTGGACCTGCACCTGTTCTTGGGCCGTGCTCTCACCCTCGCCCGCCCCCAGGAGGAGCCCTCAGGTAAGCGGAGGCTGGGCTGGGGCTGAGGGCGC